ATGTGCTGTTTCAGTCGTTTTTGGATAATCTTCAGTAGAATTCTTGCTTGCCTGTGAAATCAATGATATCGTTCTATAGTTTCCACACTCTGTTGGGTCACCCTAGTGTTGATTTTTCTCTTGTCATTTATATTGCTCATACACCACTTAATGGATGCCATATCATTCTGCCCATCTTTCCCTTCTCATGAAATTCTTGCCTTTATTTGCAGAGTCGTGCTCCAATTTCTGCCAAGCTTGTGGCCAACATGCTCTCCGTGGCCGGGGCTGATCATATCATCACCATGGATCTACATGCTTCCCAGATTCAGGTACTCACCCCACACAGACACACATTTATATCTGTTCGTTGTGATTGGGAACTTAAGGAGAGTGCTTAAACCCTAACTATTAGCTTCAGCAATTTCTGAAAGAGCTACATGGGCTCATGTTTCTTCTATATAACTATTATTAGATATTTCCATCTTTACTGAACTTGGAAAATTTATTTGATGTGAAGCGTTCATTTCTACCAGCACCAGTCTCCGCCTTCGTTTCTTGTGGTTGCTGTTACAAAAACACTGCAAGTGGAGGGGGGGAGCTTGAAAGGACAGATTTCTTTGCCCCCAGTTTTAGGGCTTAGAGCCCAAATGTGAGTCTTGCCTGTGTCAGTTCTTTCTCTGGACCCCTCTCTCCTTGCTGCTGTTGATTGCTTCGATTCATGGGTCCTTTACTGCCTGTAGATACACCTGCCTTTGTGATCACAAGGTGTTCTCTCTCTCTTTCTCTCTCTCTCTCTCTCTCTCTGTGTGTGTGAGAGAGAGAGATTGAGAGAGATTATTTTCTCTTCTCATCAGACACCATGGGGAAAATATTTAGTTTCAGGACCCACACTGCTTCTGTGGAATAACATCATTAGCATAACAAATGAATGACTCCTATGTTCAAACAGGGTCACATTCATAGGGGGAGAAGGGTTGGGATTTCAGCATGTGTTTTGGGGAGCACAGTTCAATCCACAATCCCTCCCAATGAATTTGATAAAGCAGCCTTCCTGGTTACAAAGTAAACCAGTCAAACACCTTGTGAAACATTCTGCATGGATCGTTTAATACATTTCTCCTAAAATCCCCTCTCCCAAAAAAGTAATCCACGTGATTTATTTTTCAAAAGGTAAATTGGTGCATGGGTGTGCAAACCAAAGGCATGCATTTCATGGTATGAAAAGAGACCAGAAAAGATGGGCAGAGTGAGAATGCGCCCAAGAAGAGGGCCAGCAGGCAGAGAAATGACACCTCTGACTAATGGTGACCCCATGTGTGCCAAGAGTAGAGCTGTGCCCCATCAGACTTGCAGTGGCTGAGTTTTCAGAAGTAAATCATCAAGCCTTTCTTCTGAGGGGCTTCTCAGTGGTCTTGAGCCTCCAACCTTTCCATTAGCAGCCCAGGGTGTTGATTGTGAATTGCTAAGTGACTCCTTGGAAGAAGCTCTGCACCCTTCCATCTTGAATTCTGGAAAGTTTTAATGGTGCGATCATGATGGTCCTATACCCTCCTTAAATGCTTCATAATGTACTTTTTCCCCCTGCAAGATAGGCTAAATTCTACTGTACTCACTCTGATACATACTGCTGTTGGTGGTGGTGGTGGTGCCATCAAGTCAAGTACAACACATAGCGACCCTGTGAACAACAGATCCTGTCTGAACCCTGTCCTATCCTGAACCATCCTCACACTTCCTGACATGCTAGAGCCTATTACAGCAGTCACTGTGTCAATCCACCTTTTTAAGGCTCTTCCTCTCCTTTCCTGACCCCCACCTTTCCAAGCATGATGTCCCTCTCCAAGGAATAGCTACATACTTCAAGTATGTAAGAGGAAGCTTTATTGTCTTTACTTCCAAAGAGCACTGAGGCTCCACTTTCTCCAAAACATACTGGAGGTTATTTCTTAGTTCATAGTTCATCAATGAATATGTAGAACTAGCTTTATAACATTTGCTAAAACAAATCTGCTGTCCACGCTACTGTCGCCCTGCAGAACCACCCTGATCCATCAGAAACGCAGAAAACAGGCAAAGCCCCATAGAGAGCAGCTCGGATGGCAGTAGGTCCCTGGGATGGACCAGGAGTTTTATTTCATTCTGTGAAAATTAAGAGAAGGGAGTCGGCTATTGCAGCTTCTTCTGGAAATAAATCCAGTTCTGTATCCTAAGAGAGATTATTCAGAACCGTGACGTGGTACTTGCGTCTGCCCACAGGGTTTCTTTGACATCCCTGTGGACAACCTGTACGCGGAGCCCGCGGTCCTGCAGTGGATCCAGGAGAACATCACAGAGTGGAAGAACTGCATCATCGTGTCTCCTGATGCAGGCGGCGCCAAACGGTAACACTGTGGGGGCTGCCTTGGCCACTGGGGGTCCTTTTGGTGCAAGGTAGAATCCTGATGGCTGTGGTTAAAGCATTCAGTTACTAAAAGGTCAGCGGTTCAAACCCACCAGGCAGCTCCACAGTAGAAAGATGTGATATTCAGCTTACATTAAGATGTACAGCCTTGGGGCAATTCTACTGGGCAGTGAGTCCATAGTCGACTCAAGGCAGTGGGTTTGGAGGCTGTAGCACAGTGATTAAGCAGCTGGCTGCTCTGGAGGACTCCATTTAAAAAAGGAGATGAAAGCAAAACTTTTCACTCAGCAGTCCAGGAAGAAAGCCAAGGAGCTGCTCTCTACCCCTGGACTTTGAATGGGGAGAGAAGACTCCTCCAGGGAGAAATGAGAACTCGGAGGCTGCTCCACCTGCAGATGCGCTGTGGAACTGCATGTGGCAGAGGGCCTCCCGGAGAGGAGGAAATGCGCTTGAAAACTGGGCCCACGCTCTTCCCTTCCACGTGCAGCACTCTGTGAGCACGCCCTCTGCAGGTGACTAAGATTCCAGAGGTAGAAAAGAAAGGGGGACCAGGGAAGCAGTTGGCCAAGACTCTGGGGCCACAAAACGCCTTGCCAAAGTGTAAAATTGGAGCAAATGGCAAAACCAAACCCACTGGCAGTGAGCCTATACTAGCACCCTGTAGCTGGTGGGCTTGAACGGGTCAGCCTTTCACAGCCAAGTTGACAGACTAAAAAATGATCAACTTAACAAATCAACGAAAGTGAGACAGGGGCAGGGTCATCGGGCCTGGCTGAGGACACGGGCTTTGCCCAAGACTTAGAATTAAGTTAGGGCCCCAGGTGACTGGGCTCTGGCTGAGGGTGAGAATGCTAAACTGGCCCATAGTATGTGCTGCAGGGTGCGACTTGGTGACTCCAGGTGACCTTGTAGAACGTTGTAGCTGCTGTCTAGAAAGGAAAAAGAAAGCAGCAGCATGAAATGGAGCTTTAATAGCCATGGAAGACCAAAGCTGGAGTCTCCTTTGACTCCTGGCATGCCATCTCCCCCATGTGTGTCAGCGGACTGTGGTTAAGACTCCATAGTTCAGTGACTGAGTTTTCAGAAGTAGATCGCCAGACCGTTCTTCGAGGTGTTTCTAGGTGAGCTCAAAACACCACTATTTCTAGTAGCAGCCAAGTAAGTGTGTTTAACTGTTTACACCACCCATGGTTTCCACTGGGTAGGTAGGGGCCACCATAAAGAAATGCACTGAAAGGGAGGCCTCACAGCCAGCCAGAAGGCATGACAACTTGCAAGAAGTGTGCGTGAGTGTGGTGGGCGACCAAGCAGCTTTGGGAATGTGAGCGGTTGCCCCTTGCTTGGCGCCCTCTGCCTGCAGCTGGGCTGAGCGCCTCTGAAGGCTGTCATTCTCAGAAGAGCTGTCTGCTCTTGGCTTGTCTGATAGGCGGCTTGGTTCTCAGCACGAGGGGTGGGGGGCAGCCTCTGGCAGCAGCAGGAAGTGGCCGTTGACAGGAAGGAGACACCATAGATGAAAGGCAGAAGTGAGCACTTAGTGCGAAAAGCCACCAGATGCTTGGTTTAGTACAAGACTACGCGGTGGTCGCAGAATCACCCCCTCCCTCAAGACGTTGAGGCCCAGTCATAGTATCATCTGGTGGAAAACATTCGGAGGATTTCTAAATGGCACCTAAGTTGCCTTGGACCTGTACTTCAGTGACTCACACTCAGTTATGACTCATCAAAGTCTAAGTTTAAGATGAAGTAGGTTAAGGGACATGGAAGTGTTAGACAGGGGTACTTCTGAAAAAAAGTGATTGCTAAATTGAGATGTACTCCACATAGTCTTTCAATGTGCCCATTTAAAGTGTGTGATCCAGTGTTGTCTAGATGCGCACAATTCTCACTGCTGTTTCTTTCTAGAACCTTCTATCACCCCCCAGAGAAACCAAGATTGAGCAGAGAAAGGGAAAGCCATGCAAGTAATGTAGCATGTGTTGTTCTTTTAGCTTCCTCGCCCACTCATTGCCATCTAGTCAGAACCAAACCATTCCTGACCATCCAGAAGGTTTGTGAAGGTTGATTGCCCATCTTTCCATGACGCAGGTGGATTCAAACAGCCAAAGAGGCGCTGCATTGGGATTAGCAGAAACTCCCTGCGGTCTAGGCCACCAGAACTCCCTTATGAACTGCCCAAGGGAATTTTTCAGGGGGGAAAAAAGAGAAAGACCAGGCATCAAAGACCACCTCTTGTATTATTCTATTTATAGGAAATGTTCACAGTAGGCCAGACTGTAGAGACAGAAAGGAGATGGGTGTTGCAGAGGGCTGAGGGAATCTTGCAGAAATAGAAGACAGAGCGGTTGCCATTTCTCTCAAGGCTGTGTGTCTTTCTGTGCGCAGCCTGGCTCACACGGTGCATTAGCAAACGTGCTGAGTTGGCAAGTCCAGTCCAGGACATACGGCATCTTTCCATGTTAATGTCGTTGCTATGGGTAGAGTTAAGTGTGCTTCCCTTTTAAGTGGCGTGTTCATACGTTCTGCAGTTTTTTATTGCTCCATTAGCCAGAGGTCTTTTCTTCTTGTTCGCCAGGTCGTACCAGCAGGAGAGCAGAGCTTGGCTTCTTTGTGTGCTGCAGACACATTCCCCCGTTTTTAATCTCTTCCCCTTTTGGGTGTATTTAATTTCTGCAGGAATTTTACAAAGTCCTCATGGCATCATAGCTATCTGCTCTTCACAGTAGGGCTTCTGGGTGTGGAAAAGATTCACACTTCTTAAAAAAAAGAATTCTTCTTCACTGCAGTTGACTTAATTTCAGCTCGTCTCCATCACTTTTCCATGCTTTGCATTTTAACAGGAGCACATTGCTTCATCTTTGTTCCTTGAATTGGCTGGTAGATTTCAAACCAGTGACCCTTTAGTTAGTAGCCTGACACATTCACTTCACCTTGTAAGGTGCTTTTAGGCCAACTCCTAGTGACAGCTCTGAGCCTTGTCCTGTCCTGTGCCATCCTCATCATCTCTGACACACTTGGACCCACTGCTGGTTGAGGCTCTTCCTCTCTTTTGCTGACCCTCCACCTTTCCCAGCATGACAGTTCTCCCCAAGGACTTGTCCCTCCTAACAACATGTCCAAAGGATAGGAGAGGAAGTCTCCCCATCCTTGACTCTATGGAGCACCCTAGATGTCTTTTTCCAAGACAGACTTGTTTGTTCCGCTGGCAGTCCATGAGATAGTCAATACTTTTCTCCAACATCACAACTCAAAGGTATCGATTCTTTTATCATCCGTGTTCATTGTCCGATTTTCAGATGCATAGCATGTAATTGAAAAGATCATGATTCATATCTTTTAACACTTTGGAAAGGTCCTTGACTGCAGATTTTCCCAGTGCAACACATTTTTTGTTTTCCTTTATTTTTGTTTATTGTTGTTTTAACGAAAGTTTCGATGAGATGGCTCGATTCTGTGAGTGGAGTGGTAGCAATGAGTGCATTTGAGACAGTGAGGTTGGCACAGGATAGAACGGCGGTTAGTGCTCTTGTACATAGGGTCTCTATGAGTCGCAAGTGACTCAGTGGCACATAACAACAAAAGTTTACAGAAAAGTGGGATTTTCATTCATACATTGTTGCACATTTTCCTCTCAACCTCCCCAGTTCACCTTTTTTTATTAAAAAAAAAATCATTCATTGTTGCATCATTTCCTCAGTCCTCCCTTCACCCTCCGCAGTTCACTTTGCTATGCACCTCTAATTCCGAACTGCTGTCATACAAATAATGCCTAATCACGTATTCCTTTTAAATAGTTCTTTCCATCATCTATTCCAATGCAGTGTTTATTATCTATCCACTCTTTTCTTAGCTTCCTCCCCTCAACCTCCATGTCAGTCCTGTTTTATAACAGTGGTGTTATGCGGTATTTGACCTTTCTTTTGTTTTCTCGATGCTGGTAGCAGGGGTGTTGGTTGTGAGCAAGAAATACTAAGGCTTGTACTTTATCTCTAGGTGAAAGGATTCTAGATCAAGTCCACTTACAATGTCACATCATCCAAAGATGTGGTATAGTTTTTCCTGAAAAAGAAAGCCAGTTTTCTACACCCAAAACTAACACCTCTGCCAGCTTTCCATAGATATTCTGATTCATTGTATGGAATTCCTAGTGTTTGCTGATCAAACCGGTCAGAGCAACGCTTATTCTCTTTATTCTGGTTGGAAAAGGCTTCACATTTCCTAGCTTTTGAAAGTTCTTCCACAAATCTTCTACGGTGATCATTGACCCTGAACTCTTTGGTGACCTTTAGGGTTTCAGAGAGGATCTGAGCACTGGAGGATTTTCAGTGGCTGATTTTCCAGTAATGGATCACCAAACTTTTTTACTGAAGCACTCTGGCCAAACTCAAACTTGGAGCTTTTCTGTTACCAGCCCAGTGCTTAGCCTCCACCACCCCTTCCCCTAAGTATTTGTCAGCTCAGTTCAGACAGAACAGATCCACCCATGCAACTCACTCCAGGCTCCTTTACCAGTAAAGCTTAGCTTTTAAGGAAATGATGTGTTGGAATTCTTACCATCTCCCATCTGTTCTCAAAACCTCTGTCTGCTTCACATCATGACCACCTTCCTATCCTGCCCAGAGTGGGCTGTTTCTCACTGAGGTCCCTCAGAACAGCCATATGGGTTAACACAAGATACATGGAGTTAGCATTACCTGTGGCTTACTTGCACAATGCCCAAAAAGTCCTACCTCCCTATAGAAAATGCTTGTCTGTCTATCTGATGCACTGGGAGCAAGTTTGAGAAAAAGCAATGGGGCATGACTTACTGAGGGAGAACCTAATGTGGCCACAAGAGGGCACTGGAGCTTTGCTGCATGCTCAGTGGTCTGTCGCTCCTGCCTTCTCCACCTTGCTGCCTCTTGCTGCCATCTCCATCTCCAACTCGGTGCTACCTTCGTCACAGCTTTCCTTTTTGGTCTAGGATTTCAGGTGTTCCCACGGGAAACAGGTTGCCTAGTTGGCTGTTTAGACAATAGACATTCTTCCATATCAACTGGGAATGGAGATCTATGTGTCTTGCCATTTCAACTGCCTCTTGCTTACGAGAGTATCCTTGCTAATTGCACCGTAGAAAAGGATCAGTGAGGCCTAGAATCATTGTCTTCCTTCTTAGTCAAACTGTAAAGCGAATGGTTGTAGCTATTTAAGCACTGGCCCTGTTCAGGTTCCCCCAAAATGGGAGGGTATCCAATGTCTCAGCCCAGGATTCCTCTTCCTCTTCAAGACTTGTCTGTGCAGGGCATGCATGAAACCCTGGCTGCCTCCTGGATCATGCAATGCTTGGGGCCGGTCTTTTTAGCTTTAGTTTGAAAGTTGCTCCTTGTGCTCGCTACATGGGTGTGACTTTGTATGTGTCTGAGGAAGGGGTGTTCCTCATCATTTTTTTTCCAGTTGAATTGCATGACTGATTGTGAGTTTTAAAAAATTAAAATAGGAAGAGAGTTGGAATTGCACAGTGGTTAGAGCCCCTGGCTGCTGATAGAAAGGTCGAGATTCAAACCTGTCAGCTGCACCTCAGAACAAAGATGTGGCAGTCTGCTTCCAGAAAGCTTGCCAGCTTCGGTCCCCCGTGAGGCAGCCCTACTCTGTCCTCGAGGGTCGGTGAACTCTCCTTATTAATATCACTGTGTTGATGGCAATATTTCAAAGTAAGTTTTTAACCCTGAAGTGTACTTTGTAAAGGAAAAGAAGTCCTTGGGTGGTACACACAGTTAACATGTCCAGCTGCTAACCAGAAGGTTAACCAGAAGGCTCAAGTCCACCCAGCGTCTTCTTGGAAGAAAGGCCTGGCGGTCTCCTTCTGACAAATCACCTGCTAAACCCTCTCAAACACAGTTCTCCTCGGACCCACATGGGGCATCATGAGTCAAACTGACTTGACTGCCACTGGCTTTGGGTCAGAGGCTAAGCCACAGTGCCCTCCTTCTGCTGCCAGCTCAGCCAGCCCTCCTGAGCCAGAGGCTTCCTGTGCGTTGGCTAGAGATGGGCACAGGGACTGGACATGTGCTTTGTAACAGCTCCTCAGGTCCTGTTTTGTGAAGTGTGTGCATTTTAACAGATGCTTTTGGCCCCGCTACACACGTACTCCACGAATATTAAAACGTGGTTCCCAAAGAGCTGACTTGAAGCTCCATCTTTGCATTTTGAAAAGTACTCCTGAGTACTAATGTTGTTGTTGTTATGTGCCGTCGAGTCGTTTCCGACTCATAGCGACCCTATGCACAACAGCCCTAAACCCTGCTCTATCCTGTGCCAATCGCACCGCCTCTGACACACCCATCCCGATTACCCCAGTCACTGAATCAATCCATCTCATAGAGGGTCTTCCCCTCCTGCGTTGTCCCTCCACCCTCCCAAGCATGACGTCCCTCTCCAAGGACCCGTCCCTCCTGGCAACATGTCCAAAGTATGTCAGACGAAGCCCCAGAATCCTTGCCTCCAAGTAGTAGCTTGGTTTAATCCTCTCCAGGATGAATCTGTTTGTTTTCTTGGCAGTCCTGAGTACTAATACACTGCATATTTTCTGCTGCTTGCTGGTTGTGTGGTCAGGGTGTCCAGCTATGGTTAGAGCTGCACAGGTTCAAGGCCACATCGGTAGGCCTGCCCCACCATGCCTTGCTTAGTGCAGATCCAGCCCATGCCTGGCGACAAAAGGGACAGGTTATTATTTTGCCGTGCACTCACATGGTACCATTTAAAGCCCGGGTTTGGATGCTGGCTGTCAGGAACACATCCATTTGTGTCCTTGTTCAGGGTGACATCCATTGCGGACAGACTGAACGTGGAGTTTGCACTGATTCACAAGGAGAGGAAGAGGGCGAATGAGGTGGACCGGATGGTTCTGGTGGGGGATGTGAAGGACCGCGTGGCCATCCTGGTAGATGACATGGCTGACACCTGTGGCACCATCTGCCACGCTGCAGATAAGTATGTGGGGCACTTTGGGGACATGCACAGGGAGGGTTAGGGTGTCTCACTGAAGGGGAACCAGAGGTTGGCTCACTAAAAATGAACTTGGTTTTGGAATGGTTTCTTATTGCTTGGCAATGGCCTGTTGTTATGTGCTGTCCAGCGTTTAGCAGTCCTGTGGGCAACAGAAGGAAGCCCTGCGCCTTCCTGCCCCATGCTCGCTCACAAGCCCCACTGCGCTTGAGATCAGTGTCACAGCCACCATGCACTCAGTCCATCTCTTTGAGGGGCTTCCTCTTTGTCACCGAACCTGTGCCTTTTTGTCATTATTTTCTTGATAGCAAAGAAACCACAGGTCTTCTGATTCCCATTTGCAAAGCTGAATTTTGCCCTGCACTCGCATGGTACTGTTTAAAGCCCACGTTTGGATACTGGCTGTTGGGAAGTGCTAGGAGCCGTGGTGGCACAGTGGGTTAAATGTTGGCCTGCTAAACAAAAAGTCAAGAGTTCAAACTCACCAGCCGCTCAGTCTACTCCCATAAAGATTTACAGCCTCGGAAACCTTGTGGGCAATTCTGCTCTGTTGCTATGAGTCCCAGCAGTGGATTTGGTTTGGATTTTTGAGACGGTGCCCCTCCCCCTAAAGCTGATCACAGAAGGAAAAAAACCTTCCAGGATGGTGAGCTCTCCATCTAAAATGCTAGCACCGCCACTGCACTGGGACCAGAGCCTGTCAAAACTGAGATGCTTTGAAAATGGCCTAAGAAGCAAAGAATATAAGATACCTCATCAGTAGTTTTTTTCCTAAACATTAATTACATGTCAAAATGATGATTTTTTTTGGCTCTGCTGAGCTAGCCAAGTGGTTCTCAATCTAGGATGATTCTGAAAACTACCCTACAGTCAGTCCCCTAAAATGCATAATACTGTCCCCAATGACAGTCATGCCTGTGAGTTAACTTAACACAGAGTGTTTTACTAAAATGTACTGAAAAAGATGCTGCCTTAAGCTAGTAATCTGAATTGTAGTTTCACAGTTCTCTTGATGGACCACATCTGTTTTTAACAGTCAACCTCAAACTTTTGCCCTGACTCCAAACCTATCCGTAGTTGCCCCTTCAGGCTGCTAATGAACCACTTCACAGTTGACCCTCCAGGCTGCAAATCTCAAAGGAGTAAGTTGCTTTTCTTTCTCCTGGAGGATTTGAACTGCTAGCTAAGAGCCGCCTTTGGCTTACCAGGGCAACTCCCTACAACTTGCCAAGATAGCTTCCCGCTTTTCACAGGAGTGGAGGGCATTTCTAGAATATCTGCATGCATACTTAATTGTTCAGCTGGTATCTTGCAGGCTACTCTCTGCAGGAGCCACCAAGGTCTATGCTATCCTGACCCATGGGATCTTCTCTGGACCAGCCATCTCCAGAATTAATAATGCTGCATTTGAGGCTGTGGTTGTCACCAACACCATTCCGCAAGAGGACAAGATGAAGCATTGCCCCAAGATTCAGGTACTCTCTCCACTGAGGTGGGAGGAGGATAGCAAGGGGTGCAAGTACTAAACACTCCTGTGGATGACTAATTGATGAGGCTGATGCAGCCTGAGGCTTTGAATATTGGGAGATCCCTGCTAAATGCCTGCGACTTCAGAAGGCACTCTGCTCTTTAGAAACAGTAAGTGAATAAAATTGCAAAAGAATATAATCAAGAAGCAGGCTAATCTGACACTCTACTTTTCCAAGCATCCTGTCCTTCTCCAAGGACTGGATTCCTTCTGACTGCGTGCCCAAAGAATGTGAGCCAAAGTCCCACCATCCTTGCCTCCAAGAACAAACTTGTTTTTCTTTTGGCAGTCCATGGATATTCAACGGTTGCCAACACTACAATTCAAAGGCACCAATTCTTCTTTGGTCTTCCTCTTCATTGCCCAACTTTCACATGCATGCGAAACAGTTGAAAAATACCATGCCTTTTCTGACAAAGGAAAACCTTCCTGTATGACAACGATTGACTAAAAGTTTATTTAAAAGCAGTAATTGCCGTAAGTGAACAATGACCTTAACAAACCTCAGAGTACAGGCATATCTAGGAGATATTGCAAGGTCTTGTGCAGAACATCACACTAATGTGACTATCCCAGTGCATATCAAGTGTATGTCTACACTTCCTGTTGTCTATCAAGTGTGCAATCGAATTAGGAAGAGATTTGAAATATTGAGAGAATGACCAAATATGACAGGGTGAGCAGGCGCTGTAAAAATGGGGCCTGGTAGTTGAGCTCAACTCAGGAGCGCCTCCTACCTGTGAAAAATGCAGTCTCTGGGAAGCACGTACAAAGAGGGCACACCTAAATCTATAGCAAGTGTCTCACTTCTTGGATTCCATACAGGTTCTGTCCACCAGGTTCTAATTTGAACACAGATCCAAAAGCTATTTATCCCCTTAAAAAAAATGTGGGTAAGGTTTGGATAACAACATACCTTGTGTACTACAGACTTAATTTCTATCCTTTCTGGTTTTCCATTTTTGAAAGAAAAGAACTGTTGTGCCTCACTTTCTTTTTCTTTCACCCGGTTTGGTGTTTAGGTGCTCGATATTTCCATGATCCTGGCGGAGGCCATCCGGAGAACCCACAATGGTGAATCTGTGTCTTACCTGTTCAGCCATGTTCCCTTATAACTCCCAATTGTAATGCGTTAAGCAAGCACACTATGATTATGTCTTTTTCTCTCTCTCTTGTTAGCTGTAGATACTAACAATTTTAAGATAATGGATGGTAGAAAACATCAGTTTTTTATATACTTTGAGATGCATTTGCCCCCCTTTGAAAGCTTGAGACCACTCATGTATGGTGGTTTCTTGGGAGATCAGTGATTGTTTTGCTTTTCAGCAAGAGAAACATTTGTGTCATCTTGACTTGTTCTGATAGGTGACCTTTGTTCTTTCAGCCCTTGGAGGCCATGACGTTTCAAGTTCATCATTTCATTGTGGGAGCTCATAGTTTATATATGTTTTGGGGTTGCCAAAGGTGACTTCAGATTAAAGCCTACTGTGTAAATAGATGCTAACCTAGGGGTAAAATCCTACGTAGAAAGCCCATTTGTTTTAAGCAAACCTGAAAAAAATTAAATACTGTACATTTTAATTTTATTTTTAATAACCAGAGTTGAAATAAACCACCTTGGTTAGTGTGCATATTTTGAACCCAACTGATTTTGAAGGTAGCCATTGATACATCTAGTTGTTTAGTGACATGAGACACGAGAGAGAGTTTAGTGTCATTTTGAATCCACTCACTCATTGCCATGCAATCTGAACGAACTCCTAGCTGTCCATCCAGCGGATTTTTAGAGGCTCCCATGTAAACTGCATGGGAGAAGATTGCCCTTTTTTTAGCTGCTGCGCTAGTGGATTCGAACCGCCTGAGATGTACTCCCTTTGGGTTAGCAGCGAAAATCCTAAACAAATTTTTTTGCCTTTTTTTTGAGTTACCATTGCTGAAATCCACATTGTAATATCTTCCCTAGAATTTCATGTTCTGAAATTGCCTCATTTTGGTCAGCTATAGTTCTGATTGTCAAACCATTCTGAGATGTAGCCTCAAAGCGCACTGCTGCCTTGCTGCTTTCCCCTCAGTCAGCAAGGTCCACCCCATGTCCTGTCGTCTTGCCCTTTTACATCATGTTTTTAGCTACAGCTGTTCTCTTTTCATTTTTCCCCAACAATTTTGTCTTGGGTTTGTTTTTTATTAAAAAAAAATTAAGTGTTCTTTAGTATTTGGAAATGGAAGGCTCGAGACAAATGAGAATTTTAACAAAAGTTTTTACATTTTAATAAATAGGGAGGAAGAAGCCAATGAAATAAGTTAACTTCAATTGCTCTTTTAGGATAGTGTTTAAAAATGGCACCCAAGCAATCTCAGAGGGGAAATTCCCCCAGATCACATTATCCACAGATTATTTTTCCAGCATCTTCTAAACAAGGTGCCTCTGTAATAGAATTATTGGGTTCTTTGTAGATTTGATTAGATGCACATTGATCACACAACCCGTTGAATAATTCAGCTTCCAGAAAAGAGAATTTGCCAGCCTGGACAAAGTCTAGGAATGACAACTCTCTCCCCTTCCTGCCAAGTTTTAAAACTTATAGAAAAGAAATTCTTTAATTGAAATTGAGTTTCCTTTTTAAAAGAAATTAAATTTTATTAAATTAAATTTTCATGAGAATGAACTTAATTTTGGTCATTAACAACTTGAACCATTGTATTGAGAGTTTCTGATTTTTCCACAACAGAAGTTGAATTGAAGCTAGAAAGTAACAGTTATGATTATGTAGTTGTGTACACACACACACACACACACACACACACATAACTTGTTATATAGTATAGGTAGATAGTGTGGACTTTAATAGAAACTAGTTGATTTAAAAGTAATTTTCTGAGGTTGTGATCAATAGATAAAAAACTAGGTATAAAAATTTGCATCACTATTTTCTAAATGTATAAATAATTGTTGGTTTCGACTCAATGGCAGAAAACAACAACCCTCATTGAAACCTACCCCCATTTGTATTTCAAAGTCCTTTTGAAGACATTTATAAACTAATTATATGGTTCAAATGGAAATGTAGGCATTGACTTTTCAGTAGTTTTCAGGTCAACAAAAATGATGGTAGTTGCCTCATAAACAGCTTAATTCCAGAACTTGTGCATTCCTTGCTGCCTGGAGAGCAGAAACTTATGAAACCACCAATATTTTTATCCTGTTCAACTCAGCTGAAGGTGGGGGATGGGGTGGGCTCAGTTTATATCTGGGCAAGGAGGGGAGCCAGAGGAAAAAAAAATATACCAAAGCTGTTTTGCCTCAAACTTACAGATATTCTGTGTTGTACTTTTCCTTTCTTTAGATAACATCTCAAGTAATTCAGCCATGCGTCCTTTGCCGCGCTTGTATTGGCGTAAAATATGGAATTATAAGTTTCTGTAGCACTGACTTGTAACACTTCAATAAAATTGTGTTGCTCACTACTCCTTTCTGAGTCTGTGTTCTCATTGTGAATCTCTTTGTTTTTATGGGATGCCTGATTGTCTTTGGCTCCATAAAATTATAGCCGGGCATATAAAATTAAATGAAATCTTAATGTTAATTTGAAGTCAGCTCTTACCCATTTGTAATATATTTCTTTCTGAAATATTAGCCATTAAATACTTATATATTATACATAATATATATTATATACTTATTATATACTTATTGGCCATTTCCTTTCCCCTAAGTGTAGCAGCTGTATCATCCAGGCATCCAAGTTGAAAATTCTAGAATAGCTTCATAGAACACTGAAGATTCTACCATGTGTTTCATCATCAAAAGGCTGATGTTCTATAGCCATCCCTGAGAGCAGGTCAGACTTAAACATAGGCCACAAGAAGGTGTATGTGTGCTTTGATTTCAGAAGTACCTAAAAGTGTTTCCTTCCCCATAAAGCACCTGCTCACTCCCTTGGAGACTACTCTTTTAAGGGAAAGAGTTAATTTATCATTCTGTCCCACTGGTAAAGCTCAGCTCTAAAGTGTGGCTACCTCTTGAGAGTCAGCAACACAGTGTCTTAAAGTTACAGTGAAATGTTAACAACTAAAAATCAGTCCCATTTCTGAAAAGAGATGATTACAGGTTGAGAAAGAGAATGTGATAAAATGTACCAGAAAAGGGGGAAGGAAGTGGAAACACCAAAACATACTTTGTCAGAAGAATCGTTTCGTCTCTTAGTGCAAAGCAAGTGTTACTTTTTGTATGGCCGCTTCAGTGACTGAACCACAAGAGACTAGACAAAATGGTGAAGGGAAGGGCCAAGTACTGGGGTGTCCAGGGAATCTGAATGGGTTTCATGAAAGAGCTGCCATTAGACAAAGCTGAGCAGCAGTATTCCATCCAGTATGGCCAAAGCAGAATAACACAGAGTGTTTGGGCAAGGACATTCAACAAAGATGTAATAAAGACTGGAGCATGCAGTCATAACATGACTTTATTTACACCTCAATAAGGGAGGATGTGCTAATTCCTGGAGAGGGACATCCAAGGACCTTCAGTCAAATGGCTTGACATATTGGATGCAATAAAGGTTTAAAACAGCAGTGCACATGGTGCTAGGAGCAGGCAGTATTTCCTTCTATTATACATGTTATTGTTGTTGCTGTTGTTAAGCACCGTAGAGACATAGATGACTGATAGCAACCCTATGAGTGAACGTCTTGAACACAAAACTTTCATCTTCAATTTCATAGTTTTTGAAGACAAGCATTTCTTTGGAAGTGGATGCCACTCATGCTTCCAGACCTGTTTTTTTCGGGAGATTAAAAACACACACACACACACACACCCAGGCCTGAGGGCCACAGGCCCGAGGGGCTCAAAATTATTTTTAAATAGAAGGCCAAATCCAATCAGCACACACCCTGATTTGGGGGGGGGGAAAGCCACACCCTAGTCTCAACCCCAAAACACACCTTTGCTGAATCCAGCCAGTCCATTCACCTTCTCTTCCTGGAAAAAGCCCCAGACTGGTAGCCAAAAGCTGTTTTAAATACGAGGCTGACCCAGGTCAGAGCACACCCCCACACCCTGTTGCGAGCCAAGCTACATTCTAGTCTCAACCCCAAACTAGAAAACACACCTTTCCAGAATCTGGCCATTCCAGTCATCTTCCCCTCTCGGACAAAGGCCCAGACTGGCAGACAAAACCATTTTTAAATACGAGGCCATATCCAATTAGCTCACACCCTGTTGCGACCGAAGGCACACTCTAGTCTCAACCCCAAACCAGAAAACACACCTTAGAAAATCCGGCAATTCCACTCATTTTCCCCATCTGGAAAAAGCCACAGACTGGCAGCCAAAAGCCTTTTTAAATACAAGGCCAAAGCAGATCAGTGCACACCCTATTGTAAGCAAAGCCACACCCTAGTCTCAACCCCAAACCAGAAAATACATCTTTGCAGAGGCTCATCTTCCCCTTAAAACAACAAAGGAATTTCTGACTTTGCCCTTGCATTGATTTTTCATCTAAATTGCATAGAGAAGTCAACAGAATGAAACTTGTCTCGATTCTCCATTGTCTAATGCTACAAATGGTATTTAGTGTACAGAAATATATTCTTTTACTAGTTAGGAGGCCAGAAGTCCCAAGTTCAGAGTGCTGGCTCTAGGTGAAATAAAGAGGGCCAGTCTCCTCCCATGCAATTTACAGCCTTCGAGACCCAATGGGGAGTCATCCAAGAGGCAGTTCAGACTTGACAGTAATAAGATGATGGAGTGGCTCTAGAAGAGGACTTTTGCTCTCTCTGTCGTCTAGATTTAGAGAGTTGCCAGCACGGGAACCTAGTTCCAAAGGAAGTGCTCCACTCTTGGGAATTCTGTCTCCTCTTTGGCTTATTAAATCATGAGGGATCATTACAGAGCTTCCACAGTACATATATGTATTTGGGGAAAATGCATTTCAATCCATGACAACACCTAAGGAACATACCCCTCTGCCATTTCCAGCTCTTCCTTTTTAAGACCATATTCTCAGCAGCCCATTTTTCAGTGACATCCCTTTGAGCAAAGCCTTTCTCTTCTGAAAGAGCCTGATGCGCAGAAATACAGACCTTACCACTTACTGGTGTTAAGCTACTTCTGACT